ATTAAAAAATATACCAAAAAAAATAAATTCAAACTACATAATAATTAGCTTTGACGTTCATGTTTATATAAAAGGAAGTGAACGAACAAAGAAAAAAAAAGAGAAAATTCAGTTAGAATGAAATCACTTTTATGCTTAAAGATTTCACGAATCTTTGAGGACTAACAACGAGACATGAAAAATAAATAGTAGAGTCGAACAAGTTTTCTTTTAAAAAGAAATTCTATATGGAGCCTTTTTCACTTTTAATAGCTTTATAAAAAAAAAAAATAGGAGTTACTTATTAACTTTAAATTAAATAATTACTTTTAAATTTTATTTAAAATTTAATAAAAAGAAAAAAAAAAATCAAATGTAGGTCTCTAATTTGATATTGTTTTAATTGATAATATTATATTAATAAATTAGGTGTTAAAAAGTGCAGCCAAGGGGAATTGAACCCGGGTGAACGCTGGCCATTAAACTTTCGCTGGGTAACTGAAACCAATGCGCCAAGACTCTATTGTTTTTAGGGTGTCCAAAATATGCTATTTAACCATTTAAAAGATCAATTTACTTATACATACGATATAATTTTCCGATAAAGCATGTCCAATCGGACACCTTAAGCCTACTGTAGCTCCGCCCCTGCATGAAATCAAATCCAAGAATTTGAAGTTTATTAGTCCTATGGTAATTTTAAATAATATATAATAATTACTGAGTTTATAATTCATTTTTTTACTAATAGTTAGTAAATTTATCATCAATACATCTATTGAAATTCAAACAAAAACAATTGAATTTATGTGAGCACGTATATTACATGCTAGCTCCGACTTTGATATCGCAATATAATCATGTGCTAGTATATGCTTCCTCTGTTTCTTTTTAGTTATCATTTGTATTAAAAATATTTGTTTCAAAATAGTTGTCAATTTATACATCAAGAGAAAATTAATTATTTTTTTCCAACTTTGCCCGTCACATTAATTATTCTAGAATTAAGAGGTATATATAAACAGATAAAGATTAAAAAATTAATAAGGGATATATTGATCAAATAATACTCCTTATTAAAAAAAACTTCTGAAGAATTATGCTAAATATTATCATGACAACTATGGAACGGATGAAACATATATGTATCTCGAGTGATAAGGTGAAAAGGCAAATATTCTAGGTATGATACATTCAGAAAGACTACATTTTTTCAACTAAGTAACAACTCCTCCTAAATTCCTTTTGAATCCACTTAATTTGAAAAACAATCAATCACTTGTCTCATTTGAATCTCATTTCAAGCACCATAACTATATTCCTAATTGTACATTTTTTTAGCCCAAAGTCTTTGGTGGTAATGATGATTATAATTAGAGTTTCATGCAACAAAAAGAACAAGGCACTGTTAAGTGTTATCATGACGTACGTAAGAGAGGAGGGATAATTATATTTCTGCAGAATAATATAAATATAAAATCACTTCATTTTCTGATCTGTCAATCATATATATAGGTGCTATCAAATAAAACAAAAAGGGAAACCGATAGCATTACTGTTCTCAATCCTTTCCACGTCATTCCCCAACCCCCCCCCCCAGAAAAATAATAATATCGATACCATATTGTATGCAATAGAGGAAGATTTTTCCTTTTTTTCCAAACGAAAAGACTAATTAGTAGGCGTTTGGACATTAAAAATGTGATAATGAAAAAAGTTTAGAAAAGATATTTGAAAATTAAATTTTTAATTTGCAAGAAATATAAATTTTGTGAATGAAAAAAAAATCATGTCTAAACAGACACAAAAGCCTTTTTAATATCGAGAAGGAAAATAGTCGAGCTCGGAACGTGGGACTAATGTCGATCACATATTAAGTCTAGCTTTAGGACTAGTGCACTTTCCGTTATAAAAAAAATAATTATAAAACTTTGAAATAGCTTTAAATTTTTTGAATTTTTTTAAAAAAGGAACATGATTTTGTGTGAATAGTCCCAGGACATAACCAAAGGATTATTGACAAAATTTATTCGAAACTCAATGTATATATCAGTTTTTTTAGGGGTATGTTTGGTAGGAAGTATTAGGAGAAATAGTTCATGTATTATGTATGGTATTATATAGTACTATGTTTGGTAAGAATTTGGGCCTATGTATAACTAATCCATGGATTAGTTATACACCCTACATGGTATTAGAGGATGTATTACTAATACCTTCTATTTGGAGGTATTAGTAATACATATGATTTAATACCATTGGATAAGTCTATGTAAAGACAAAAATATCCCTCAAATCATTTTAATCATTTTGTTTATTTTCTTGATTTTATGTTTTATATTTGTATTAGTAAATTAATTTAAATAAATTAGCATATAAATTGTTAGAGAGAGTTGTTTGTTATTAAATAAATTCAATACAATTTTTGAAATGTGAATTTAACATTTACTAATTAAAAAGGTAAATATATCACCACATGATGTTTCTTAATTGAATGTATAATATATATGGTGTGTGTGGTTTTCTAATTATTTGTATTTTGAATAATTTATAAAATTGCATACATATTAAAACTATAACTTGCAATTTTTATGTGTAAATGTAGATGGTTTACTCAATTTTACTAAGTATTGTTTACTGTCTTATCGGTTTTAAAAGTAGATGGTTTATCTTTTTTAATTGAAAAATGTCATTTTGTGAGTGTTAAATTTATTAAAATGACAATTATTTATCCTCAAATAATTCAAGTGAAAAAATAGCAATCATGACAACAAAATTGTTCTTCACCTAGCTAGTTAGAAGATCATAAAAAAAATAACATTGTCTGACAATTATCTACCTTGACCCAATTACATAATAATACAAGGATATAATTGGAAAGAAACTTTTTATAGAGTTTTAATCCAAACACAAGATGATGTAGGAAACAATGAACCAAACACTTGATAAAAATAAACCATGCATTACTAATCCCTGCACTATTAATCTCTGCATTACTAATTCCTGCGTTATTAATCTTTGTACTAAACGACCCGTTAATGAATAAGCAAAACATGTATAACTAACATTTTTTATTAAATTATGCATAAATTTATCTTAATTTTTTACTTAACCATCACAAATAATATAATTTGATGTAAATGTTTAATTAGGGGAACAAAATTTTATAGAGAAGTATTGAAAATATCATTAAACTATTAACAGTGTTAAAAATACTTTTTTATTTAACTAATTTAATTTAGATATATCCTTAATCTGCCACATGACACGGCTAGTTGTATTAAACTTTTGTAGAAGCATGAGACTCTTGATAAAAAGTCGAGAGAAATTTAGTGAAAATTTAGGAGTGCATTTCACTCACGTGATAAGAATCGGGGTGTAGTTAAATTTAACTAGTCAAATAAAAAAATATTTTTAACACTATCAATAATTTAAAGATAATATTAATAATTCACGCCAAGTATAGAGTTGTATATAATACTTCTCTCAAAATTTTACGATAATTCAGAAACAAACTATTATTATCTGAGAATAATGGGATTCTTGTTTAGAATGACAACACACTGTCTGCTAAGAACAGTGTTACCTTAGCTACTCCCTAAATAGACACGACTAAACCTTGTTTTTCTAAAGCTTCCTTTTTCCCTACCACTTTACGCCTCCTTCCTTCCCCCACCCCCACCCCCACCCCCAGCATGACAAAAATATTAAGTATATATTGAGGTAACATTTTTTTCTGTTCATCATATAATAATTCAATTTCATATATATATATATATATATATATATATATATATAATAGTTTTTTCCTTTATACATATATATATAGCATTCTTTTCATTCCAATTTATATGATATCCTTTTGTTTTTAGTCTATCCAAAACCTCAGTATAATCTCATAATTAAAGTCTAATCATAAGTAGAAAAAAATGTTTCGATTGAACTTTAGCAACTCTCATTTTTTATCCGAACTTAGAACCGACAATGATGTTTTATGCATACGTACTAGTTGAAACAAAAACATATATACAGACACAAATTTAATTTATAGAGTAAAATCAATAGTGAACTAATTAAGAATTAGAAGGGCTATCCACAGAATTCTTTTTCGTTGAAACCAGAGATGACTGTCTAAAAACATGAAACTACATTTCAAGCCATCAACTTCAGCCAACATTACATATGAAAGGCAAAGAAAAGAGAAATCCCAAAAAGAATACTAATAATATTTTTTTATACAATATAGTTTAATCTAGCTAATTGCCTACTATAAACAATATAATTACCAATTGTTACCATTTATAATTGACCTGATAAATAGAAGAATTTATTTCACATTACAATAGTACTTCCAAGTTATATACCTCGTTAGTGTATTAGTAACTTTCTTATCTAGCTGGTCGCATGAAATTTTTTACTTATAGATAATCCTCCTTAAAATGTGCGATTTACATTTTTAAAAATTACATGAGTTAGTCTATTGCGACGATAATGTGTATAACTTAAACTTATAAAATGAAAATAAAGGCACTTACAACCACCATGCTTTGCTTTCCTTGCAGAATAAGCAAACAAGTAAACATGAAAGCTGCCAGAAAATATGTTAATGATGATATCACAGTTATTGGATTTTTTCTTGACCTTCATAGACACATATATATCATCACATGTTGTCATCCATGTAAAAAAAAATAAAAAATGCAACCGAAGTCATCCATCTAAGGTTTCCTAACCATTTTACTAATTAATCAACTTAATTATATCATCTAAATAAAGAAATTAAACCTCAAAAAGGCACATTTATATTATAATAATATGTTAAGTTTCATTTCATCATGAAAAATGAAACATAGTACACATTAACACATAGACTAGACTTAATTAATAAGATTTCTGTAGTAACTAAAATGTCCCTTCAAATAACATACTAATTAAACACTACTCCAAATTAAACTAATGAAAACCCCTCCTTGTTTTCTTCAAGAGACAATGAAACAAAACACAAGAGCAAATAGTCAGCTATCCATCTCTTCTTCAACATCAACAAATCTGCAATCAGATATGAATTTTATAAAAAAAAAAATGAATTTCCAAGAAAAGTTTTATAAATTAAAAAATGTTAAAAATTAATAATTTGAATTCATACCGAATCAATTATGTCTTCGTTATATATGATGAGTCGATGCAATACTTGACGTGCGAAGCAAGTAGTAAAATGCACCATGCTGGAGTGGCTGAATTGTGATACCCCATTCATTAGTAATAAGTGGTTCACCAGATGAATGAATAAGCACCGCATCTTCACCAAACACTTCCCTCACGTTAAACGGTCCTATCCCAACCTCAAAAGCAACGTCGTTGATAAACACCGTCGATCTTGTGGGACCTGCATCATTAGGGTCCACAGCAACCCCTACAACCACACGTACGTTACACAATCATGAGATAAATGGAACCAATGCAGTAGTCAAATTTATATATGTAACTCCACAAGATCCATCCATGCGAACGTTGTTCCAAAAAAAAAATTAGACAAGAAATCAGAAAATGAGGGAGCCAAAGGACAAATATAACCTTATCTTATCTATAAAACATAACGTATGAGAACATGTAAAATGTAGTAGTACTACTTTTTTGGCCTTGTTAAAAAACACTGTGTAAAAAGTGAACAGGCCTAGCTTAGCATCAATCACTTCCATGAAATGCCAGTAGAAGATTTTACTTATTATGCTTAAATTTCGTATGAATAGAGACAAACATTTATTCTCATTCTCAGTTCTGGCCCTAAAATAAAATAAAATGAGTGGCTTTCAACTTTCTAGACTATATATATCTTCACTTTTGTCATGAAGTTAAATGGAAAAAAATGTTAAAGTGCACATTCATACTAGATATGGTATCATTTGTACTGAGTAGCCAGCCCACCACATACTCAACATAATAAATAAAAAATAAAAAGTAAAGAATATAACACTTCAGTTACTCAATACTCCTCCCCTACTCTACTCACTAGACATATATACAAAAGAAAAAAAAACGTTACTTTTTTTACTGTTTCAATGTATTTGATTGAAACACAGATTTAAACGGAGAAAAAAAAACTATTATCATATATCAAAAATATCCTTATAACTTGTGATCTTTGGAAGCTGAAAAAAAGAATGTCATATAAAATGTAACGGAGTAAAAGACTTACCTTGAATGTGACCAATGGTTGGAATAGTGGTAGAAGCAAGAGGAGAAGCAGTTGAAGTAACAGTATAACTCATGAGCTGTGACTGCAAATTCATTTTCTCATTTTCAGCTTTCTTTGAACTATTACTAGGTGTTTGACTTATCCCCATCCATTCATTAAGAAAAAGTCCAGAAGACGAAGAAGAAGAATGAGGAGAAAAAGTAGTTGAATCCGGGAAGCAAAACCCTTGTGAGATGGCGGAATGATCATGAGTTTGTACTACTGGTGGTGGTTGAACGGTGAAAAAGAAAGGCTGCTCATTAGACAAGAACTCGTTATAGTTCTGTTGGTTCACTGAAGAAGTAGGAGAATTCAGCAAGTCCATCACATTCGATGTACCAATTGAGAAAGTCAATGAATTTGGTGAAGATTTATCAGAAGAGGATGAAGATGAAGTAATAATAGGTTGATGAGATGAATTATTCTGGTGTTGTTGAGCTTTAGCTTGTAAATGACGCTGTTTGTGTTTACTTCTTGATTTCCTGTTTTGAAACCAGTAAAACACATTAGCATCACCAACTTGTCCATATTCTTGAAGCTTAGCTCGGATTTTCCTAATCTCATCCCTTGGTGGATTCACCATGCCTGAATTAAAAATTGCTTCCAGTATCCGAATTTGCTCCGGTCTTGGATTCCATCTAGGCTTTGGCTCTGGACTTCGCTCTTCTAATCATAATTAAGAAAAAAATAAAAATGAATCAACCGAAAATGTAAAACATTGAGAAAATTATGTGAACATATATATATATACCTGGATTGCATGGAGGTCTTTGTTGAATGATAGAAGAGTTGATGTCATGTTGCCATTGGTGATGATGAGAATTGCAAGGTTTGGATTTAAACATACTAGGCCAGTGTCTATTTGATGAAGCCATATTTGATGATGATGAAGAACAAATAAGAAGAAAAAAAAAAAAAGGCAACTCTCTTTAGCTTTGCTTTTTTTTTTTTTTTTGGTAGTCTATAAACAACCCTAACACACTTCTTATATAGACTCCATACCTACTACTTTTTTTTTTTTTGTTTAGATTAAAAAGAAGGGAAAAAAAGAAAGCAAATTGTAGAAATAAAAAAGACAAAACCCAAAACAAGAATCACCTGTTAAATGATAAACAAAAATAGAAATGAAATTAAATGTAAAGTGAAAAAGATAGACTAGAGATCTAGTACATGGCCCATACCCTTATAATTATAACTTGTTCACAAAATTATTATTTTTCAGACTGAAAATACTTGTTCACTACTCAATGTAACAAAAAGCCCAATTAGTTCAATTTGAAGAGAAAACAAAGAGAACATTGAAAGAAGCACATGATGGGGCTTATATTAGAATCTTCATCAGAGTGAAAGACAGTGAAAGCTCATAATTCAAAATAAAAGAGAGAGAAAATACAATAAAAATTGTGATGTTTAATATCTTCAGAAGTCTGATGAAATTGTCTCTTTGTTTTACATATTTTTTGAGTTTTGATGTTTTTTTGGGGTTTGTATATATGAAGAAAGGGAGTATTAATGGAGAGAGGTGGAAAGGCGTGGATTATTCTAATAAGATGGGGTTGTTGCAGCAGGAATAAATAGGGGAGAAAAGTAAGGGGGGTAGGGGGTGTTTGGGGGGGGGGGGTAAAGAAAAGGTTTTGAAAGTCAAGATAATGTAATTGTAGGATTTGAATAGAAAACGGTGGAAGAGAAGTAATTGCTCTTTGTAGATTTGAATGTTTTGGCCAAAGAAAGGAAGTATTGGATTGACTCGAGGGTCATTTTATTACTACAAACACATTTCAAGATTTTTTGCTTAAATGAAGGAAAATAAAATTTATTTCTTTTTTCCCTTCCATTTTCTTTTCAAATGTATTTTTTGGGAACTTATGGTTCAGTCAAACTAATTTATCAATATAATACAATTATATATTGATTATGTATACTATATGTATATTAAAAATTTACACATTTGCTAGTATTTTATAAACTAGATCATTCAAATTTTTATTCATCGTGTTAATTTTTTTAAGGGAGGTTCCTATGATTTTTAGGAGTATTTAGTAAGAAATATAGAGAACTTTTATTATTTTTTATTTGTATAGGCGTTAGTGTTGTAACTTTGTTAGAAAATAAAACAAAGTGATGAATTTTTTTATAAAAAAAACTCTTGCTGAGGTAAGAATACTTTTAAGTTTTAAGCTATATTTTCATCACTTCAATTCTCCAAAAAAATTGTTAGTAGTTGTTAGTTTGAGACAGTAGTCAAGGCATTATTTTCCTTTTTCAATTGAGGCAAATTAATTTAATTAAGTGGAAAATAGTAGTTATTATTATTTTCCATAATCAGTTGTGGTAAATAATTTAATGTTTTCATTATTGTCTCGTTATGCAGATAGTACCAAGAGAGGCTTAAATGGAAGTCCTTTCACATTGTATTTTACTAAAGGAGAATTTTCATTAGTATATATGTATTCACACTAGTTCAATTTGGCATCTATACTAGCTATATTTTAAACTCATCATAAATAATTGACTGCATATAAGATATTTTCCAAGTAGCACTATCCTGCCGTTACTATTAGCAGGAGTTACATAAAGTTATTGTCACGTTATTAAGAAGTCATTTGTTTAAATTATTGATACAATCTTTTATGGAAATACAAAATAACATTGTGTATAGTAAAGTAAAAGCTTAGTGTGAATGATTCACTTTAAATATTTTTATCTTAAATTATGCTATGGTCCTTTAAATAGAAGCCTAACATGTTGACATTGGATGATAGAGTTGGTGCCTAGAGATTGTACAACTATGCTAGGCTTGATCAAATAACACAAACATTTTAAAATTGGGAGATAGAGTTGACAAGAATATAATGTGAAAATCAAGAAGAACATATGATATACGAGAAGTTGGGATAGACATTAAAAAAAACGGTGGTAACGTCCAATTTAGATTCTATCTTTTTCAAAACGCAAGAACAAAATAAAATTTTAAATTTATAAATTCTCATTTTTTAACGCATAAAATATTTGATCAGGATTATTAATTCAGTCAAAGTCATAATTAAAAGTGCTAGCTCAGTTTCTAGTTTCTACCACACACAATGTGTAGTTTCTTATACTATCGATTTATTCAAAAGAATATTTATTTATTTCTACAATATTTGACTTAATTAACAGTTTAATACTTTTTATGTCTTATTTTAACTGTCTATTAGCTAAAAAAAATTATCCCAAAATAATTAAAGTTTCATCTACATAATATTTGAGAAGAAGGATGATCAATATGTATACCATTATTAGATACATAAAAATACTTAATAAATTATATTTTATATTTGTTATTTTCTTAACGAACTTAAAAATTAAATATGAAAACGATAGTTAAATATGGGATGAAACGAGTAATTTGAAAGAAGAAAAAGATTTTTTTGAGGAGGGTGATTAAGCAAGAGAGTAATTATTAATGGACTTAATTTAGTCCATGTTGTGTTCCTCTTATCCCGACATACCAAGCTCTAACTCCCAACTCCAACTCCCTTGTGTCCCCATTCCACATCCCTCTTTAATTCCACTTTCCCCCAATTATACCTTTATTCATTTCATTTCTTAGTCTTCTATCTCAAATTATGTATCGTATTTTAAAAAAAAGTTATCTTAAATTACTTATTAGTTAGGTAAGAAGTTTTCATTTTACTTTTTTTTGAACATTTTTACCAGAATTTGGCCAGAATGATAAAATAATATATTTCACACTATGTTATTTTACCTTTTTGAACATTTGTACCCTTTTAATTTTAATACATTTTAATTTAAAAAATAGAAAAAAAATTAGTTTATTTTTAAAAAAAAAGGATATTATAGACTTTTTAAATTTTTAGCCAAATTCTAACCAAATTTTCTGGTCATTTAGCATTACCCTTAATTTTATTTGATTCATATTAACTTGAAAACTTTAATAAAGTATTTACACGCACAACATGTGAGTTTAATTAAAAACTATTTCGAGCAATTGCTTAACTTTAATTCCACTTATTATGAACAATATTAATTACTTATCAGTAGTGTTAATAATTTTACTTGATTTGATAGTTGTAAACAATCTTGAAATGGTTGGTTATATTAAAAAAATATTAAATTTAAGGGCTTGTTGAATTGACTCTTGATCAGTCTTGTTGAGATTTCCTACAAGAAGTGGGTAGTATTATCACAATTTTCAAGTGAAACTCAAAAAGTAAATATCAACTGTTCACACATGTAAAATTGAATATTTGATTTTGACCAATGGCCATATAATATACCTGATTCATCAGTTACAAACACTACTGCTTAGGTAAACATGACAAAATTTCAAAGGATAAATGATGGAGTCAATCTCACTTCACTTTTAAGTAACTCTGATAAAACAGATACAAAGAATGAAAAGAGAAATAAAGCACAATCCCATCACTACTCAGAAAGCCCATAACCAATACTAGATATGGTAGTTGTTGTTCAGTAGCCACTGCATTTACAGACATGCCTTTTTTTTTTCCTTTTCATAATCATACTGTACTCATCTCGACTAATTTTATGAAAGATGTAATTAATGAAATGATAAGTTTACTATATCATCATTTGAATCTAATAAATTTAGCATCAAAAGATGTGATGCAGTGGATGTAGTTGCCCCTCCTTTAATCAAAGGTTACCGGTTCGAGCCTTGGGTATTGGAAAAAACCTTGGTAGAAAGCATTTTCCTTTAAATGGAGCACTACGTGTGTCCATAAATTTAATATATTGGAAAAATGGATCTGGAAAATAACTATAGTTAATAATAAGTGTAAATTAAAAAGAAAGTGATAAATTATATTGATTTTTCAAACTTGATATCTATTTTTAAAATATTGGACAAGTAAAAATGGACGGTGGAAGTAATTCCTACCAACTAACTTTGATAGATAAACATAGTTACTTTAGTTTTTTTTGCTCTAACATGAAACTTTGTGATTCTTAATTACTTTATTGACTAGTACACCACATTATTATTCTGATTTTCAAATTATTATATTGCGCTATCGATGCACAAATTATGATATATATACAGTCTTATTCTTATCTTAAAAAGATACAAAAAATGATAAAATAAACCCCCGACTTAAAAATAAACCAAACTTAAGTTCTACCTTTTTTTTTTCTCATTGTCACAAGCTAGTCTTGTTTTCTTTGCTGACCAAACGTGTGCTCCCACTGTTAGTTCAATTTTCAGTAAACGTGGGATTTTCTGATACATAGTACGTGAAGAAGTAAATACTTTGATAGCTAATTTAAGTGATAGCAGTAGATTCAATCTTTTCCCCAAGAATTTATTATCTACTTTTGAGTTTTACCTCATCTCTTTGCCTTTACCTTTTTCTGCTCACCCATTTTGTCTTCATCAAATTTGTCTAAACGATTAAATTCACTATACTTTTGCTACTTGTTGGTCCCTACACAATTCTATTTAATCCCCTCTTCCTTTTTTTTTTTGCTTCTAATTTTTTTTATCAATTCATATTTACTTGTTCCATATTAACTTGATATTAAAAAATTTAAAAATAATTATTTTACAGCTATATAATACTTTAAATATAAAAAATTTAAATTTTAAGAAATGCATTAAAAAATGGCTATAGTTAATAATTAGAATAAATTCTGAATTAAAAGTAAAAAATTATCTATTGATTTTTTAAAATATGACAAACAAAAATAATTATTGTTTTCTGTATAATGTATAAGTAAAAATAGAATATTTACTTCTTTTTTTCCTTGTCCTATCCAAGAAGAAATATTAAAATGAGAATATTATGAATTTTTTTTAATCAAAGTTGCATAACTATATTTTCGGATAGAAAAAGAACAAAATTATTACTCTACTAACTTAAAAATCATAATTACCGAAAATCAAACTTTTA